CGTCTCTTCTGGACCTTAATGTCAGCTGGTGCTGCTAAACCCCGCCAACCTCACGCTTCACACTCACTGTCTCCCTCTCTGAGATACCTGGACATTCACACCCACTAAGCAAAGGTTCTTCCCTCTACTCAGTCCAGATCTTTATTCAACCTTGACAACAACAGCTTTCACTTCCTTCTCCTACCCAGCCTAGACTCTGTGGTCTTCCTCACAGGGAGAACAGAGGCCATTAACTCCCCTGGCTTCCTGCCCACCCACCTTGCTTCCTTCCCTAAAACCACAGTGTGGCAGGCACCCCCTCCTCTTAAGCACCTGGCTTTCACCACAGCATTTAAACATGCCCAAGGGGGCACTCAACTTACCCCTTTTCTTCCCGTCACAGGTAAGTTTTTCTAATTAAAACAGTCAACATTCACTGCATACATCTCACCTTACATTATTTTTCAGCCTCCTGCAATCTGGATTATTCCTCCATGTCTACAGGGTAATAAATGACTTCTTTGTGGCTAAATCTGAAACTCTCCAGTCCTTATTTTAATCCCTCTGCAGCCATTGTTAACCGCATCTTCGCAGGTCACCAACCCTACCTCACTTGCCTCCTTCTCCTCTGACATGCTTTCACAGTCTCCATTCTCTCTTTCCCACTTCTTTATCCATCTATCCCCTGGCTCTCTGCTCATCCCTGATGACATGAGCTCCCTACAGAAGTTCACCTCCCACTGATTTCTATATTGCTCCATCCCACAGTCGTCTCCAGCTGACCATGCCCCCAAACTCAAATTACCTCCTTCCAGACCCTGTCCTCCTACTTCTATTTCCAACTTTGGTAAAAAGCACCATTTACCATGGTCCACACCAGACACCGGGAATAAAGACGCCTTCATCTCTTGCAAAACACGCCCCAGTAGTTCTCACCATCTCTCTCTCTTTAGTCTGACACTTCCACAGCCTTGGTTCAAACCCTCCTCAGGGCTGAGCAACGGCCTCCTGTCTCCCATCTCACCCCTTCCCAACCACTCACTACAGTGCCACAAAGAGATCCCCCTAAAACACAAATACGATTTTGTCACCTCTTCTGTAAGATTCTTCCAAAAGCCCAAGCTCCTCAGCATGACTTAATAGGGCCCTCAAGATCTGACCAGTCTGATAGCAGGTTGGTTTTCTAGTTCCACTTGAAGCCACTCCTCCCTGATGTGCTGCTAAGACACAGCCCAAACTAACTACTCACAGGCCCCAAGTATGTGGCATGGTCTCTTTCTGCCTCTATGTCTCTGCACATGGGGGTCCTTTGCCTAAGAAGTCCTGCCTAACTTCGCCTAGCTGACTTCCCAGTGTTCCCCTGGACCCAGCTTGGACGGCCCCTCCTCATGAAGGTTTTCTCTGATCATAACCCTTACCCCATGAGTTAAGGGATATTTGTAGGTGTTCTCACATATTCATCTGAGAGCAAGTATCAGCTTGAATTACAATTATACTGTGTGTTCAGTTCTCTGCCTCCCGGACTATGAGGCCAAAGGCTGTAACTTATTCATCTTACAATCTCCAATGTTCAGCTCAGTGGCTGGCACAAAAATGAACATCTGATGATATTTATACAAGAAAATGGCTAGTATTGGTTTTGGGTGAACAAATACTGCCCTCTTCTGGTCAAATATATTACCACACCAAATTTTTTAAAAGAAGGTGAAATCAGTTTCTAAGGAATGAGATAAAGCTATATACTTAAACCAACTTAACACAGTGCTGGTAGTGGTGAACAATTATTATATATGACACTACTAAGTAAGACATTTGTAACACAAAAGATCCCAGTTATCCCAACTCATCCTCAAAAATTAACATTCAACCGATTAAAGGAGTGACTTCGAAAATAATTTAATATAGAAGTAATGCTTTTTAATAGATGTAACATTGTCAAATTAACATTAAAAAGAGGCTCAGACCTCTTTGAAATGGCCTGACCATTTTTAACCTGCGATATTTTGCTTCCTTTAAAATCTTACTTATAAACAAAGACGACTCTTGAAGATATAAAGTGGCTTTGGGAAACTTACCAATGTCATAAGCCATGAAATCTGAAGAAAAGCATTTGGCACCATGGCTCATGGATGTGTCATTGTGTGTGTTTCCTCCAAACACCAGCATGGTTCCACTCACTATCACAGCTGTGTGCAAGTAACGGAAAAATCGGCTGTCCTTAAGAATGGTCCTTTTGAGTTTATTTAAAAATAATAAACACAAGGTTAGTTTTTTATACTATGTATCACCTATCTTATTTGCAGATCCAAATATGCAAATTCTTCTGGATTTTTCCTTATATATTAGTAACTTTCTCAGCAATAAATAAACAGTAAAATCTTAAAGACCTATGAGAATTCTGACAAAATATATTAAAAGCCTTAAAAATGGTCATGCCTGTTAACCTATAATTCCAGTTTCTGGGTAGAATTTATATGAAATACAGACAGAAGATTACACACAATGTTTTATCAATAGGACAAAAGCTAGAAACCAAAACTTCCAACTCTACAGTCTCAGTATAGCCACATGATAGAGTATTACACAACCATTAAAAGGGACACTTTTAATGACAGACAGAATACAAAATGGTATTCATAGCATGGTCTCAAATATGTAGGGAAATATGAAAAGAAAGAAGAGAAACATTGCTTTATAATTACATTATTTCATAACTCAAATTTGCTTTACATTTATTAAAATTAGCATACTTTCTATAGACCAATACATAGTTCAGAGTGTGGAGAGCACTGATCTTTCAGGTACTGAGACCATCTCTGTTTGATGATTTTTATGGAATGACACTGACCCCAATAACTGATCCCAATGATGACACCTTAGTCAT